CTAGTAGTTTCTTTACCTGATTTTGGTATCAGGGGTATGCTTGCTTCATAAAATTAATTTGGGAGTATGCCATCCTTTTCTGTGTTCTGGAATAGTTTGAGTAGGATTGGTGTCAGTGCTTTGCTGAGTGTTTGGTCAAATTTTCTAGTGAAACCATCTGGTGCAGGATTTTTTTTTGTTGGTAGTTTTTTATGACTTGTTCAATTTCTTCTTTTGCTATGGGTCTGTTCAAATTTTCTACCTCAGTCTGTGTTAGTTTTGGTAAGTAATATGTTTCTAGAAATCTGTCCATTTCTTTTAGGTTTTCAAATTTGTTTGAATACAGTTCTTTATAGTATCCTGATATTATCCTTTGTATTTTGGTTGGTCCTGTTGTGATGTCACCCATTCATTTCTTATTCATGTTATTTGCATCTTCTTCTTTTCCTTTGTTAAATTTGTCAGTGGTTTGTCAACTTTATTAATCTTTTCAAAGAACTTTTCTAGTCATGTTGATTCTGTCTACTGTTTTTCTGTTTCATTTATTTCTGCTCAAATCTTTATTATACTTCTGTTGATTGTAGGCCTTTCTTGCTGCTCTTTTTCTAATTGTTGGAGATGTTGGGTTAAGGTATTGATTTTGGCTCTTTTTAATATAATCATATGTGCATTTATTGCTATAAATTGCCCTCTGATCATTGCTCTTGCTGTGTCCTAAAGATTTTGGTATGCTGTGCTTTCATTCTTGTTTGATTCAAGGAATGTTTAATTTCTTCTGATACCCAGTAGTTTCTAAGGAGGCTGTTCTTCAATTTCCATGTGTTTGCTTATTTTTCCTTATCTTCCTATTGTTCATTTCTAATTTTATAGCATTATGATCTAACAAGATGCTTTGTAGTATTTTGATGTTTTAAAATTTATTGGGGCATGCTTTGTGGCTTAATGTAGTCCATTCTGGAGAATGTTCCATGTGCCCTGGAAAAGAATGTTTATTGTACTGTTGTTGGGTGAAGTGCTCTGTATATGTCTATAAGGTCAAGACGGTTGATTGTATTGTTTAGTTCTTCTATGTCTTTGTTGCGTTTCTTTCTAGTTGTTTTATTGTTCATTGAAAGTGGTTTACTAAAGTCTCCTACTATGACTGTGGATTCATCTATTTGTCTTTTCAATTCTGTTGAAGTCTGATTTATATATTTTGGAGCTCTTTCATTAGGTGTGTAGATGTTTATTATGGTTATTTCCTCTAGTTCAGTTGATCCTTTAATCATTACATAATGTCCTTTCCTGTCTCTTATGGTGGTTTTTGCCTTAAAGTCTGTTTTATTTAAAAAAATAACATTCTATTCCTGCTCTTTTGATTGCTGTTTGTTTGATATATTTTTTTTCCAACCTTTGATTTTTAGTCTATTTTTGTCTTTGTATCTAAAGTAAGTCTCTTATAGATGGTGTATTGATGGGTCATGTTTTCTTATCCATTCTGAAACTCTCTGTCTCTTGATTGGTTTATTTAATCCATTCACATTCAGTATAGTTATCGACAAGTATTAATTTATTCCTGTCATTTTGGTTGTGTGATTTTTTTTGTGGTGTTGCTGATTTCTTTATTCCATATAATTTTTTTGTGCCAATCTCATTTTGTTTATGATTTTTTAAATCACTTTCTTTGTTGCTATTGTTTTAGTATTTGCTAAATATTTGTGCCTTTCCTCTTTTTTTATTTTGATGAGATGGTTTATTAATTTTTTTTGAGATTACCCTGTGATTTATTATTTTCTTCCCAAGAGTCTTGGTTCTCTAGTGCTGCTATAACAGAAATACTACAAGTGGATGGCTTTAACAAACAAGAATTTGTTCTCTTACAGTTTAGGTTGTTGTTGTTGTTATTTGCCGTTGAGTCAGCCCCGACTCATAGCGACCCCTCCTTGGGTTGCCGAGGCAGTATGAATACAGAAGTAGATTGCCCAACCTTCCTTCCGAGGAGTGGCTGGTGGGTTTGAACCACCAGCCTTCTGGTTAGCAGTCAAGTGCCTTAGGCACTATGCTACCAGAGCTCCTCAAGTTTAGGAGATACCCAAATTCAGAGTGATGACTCTAGGGGCTGAATTAAGCCTCCTTGATCTTAGGCTTCAGCTCTGCCTCTTGTTCCAGGCCCACTGGAGCTGGAATCATCTCCTAACTCACGCAGCTGCTGGCTGCTGAGGCTGATGAATGCAAGGTTGGCAGGTAAAATGGCACAATCCCAAGATCAGTAGGCACCATGGCAACCCACTTGTTCAAGTCCAGAAACAATCCTAAGGCAGGCAACACACAGGCCACTAGTTCAAGTCCAGGAACTGGAGATGAAGACTTATCCAAATGCAGGACCTAGATGTGGCAAAAAGCTAGCAGCCTTTCTCAAAGCTTCTTTATATATATACAGGAAGCAGGCCATGCCCCAAAGGCAACTAATTAGCTGCTCACAGCAGATTCTACCATGGAGGTGATAACAATCTCATCATGGGGAATAACTACATCTAGCTGCCAACCACTCAAAACCACAGTCCAGCCAAGTTGACACATAACTACCACACCAAGTATAAAACAGTCTGTTCTATCTTGAAGTCATCTTGACTTCCTCTCATTTTGAAAGTTCTGTACCTGCACTGTTTATTCTCTCTTTTTGGCTTGTAGTTGTTCTCATTTACCAATTAATGTTTCTGGTTCCCTGTTTATATCCTGTAAGTTTATTTTACTTTGGAAACTTCTATCTGGGTTGGTTTCTGGGTTATATAATCATGTGTGTTAATCATTGATTGTTGTCTGTGATTGTTGATTCTCTCCTGAAGGACTCCCTTTAGCATCTCTTGTTAGGTTGGTTGGTTTATCTGGAAATGTTCTAATCATGTTTTAGGACTATTTTTGCTAGCTATATAATTCTTGCTTGGCAATTTTTTCCTTTCAGCTTTTTATATAAGTTATCTAATTATCTTTCAACTGCATGGTTTCTGCTGAAAAAAAAAAAATCATAGTTTAGTCTTATTTGTTGCCTTTGCGGGTAATTTTTCATTTTTTTTCCCATGGTACTTTCAGGATTATTTCTTTGTCTCTGGTTTTGGTAAGTTTGATTATGATATTTCTTGGTGATTTTCTTTTCATGTCTATCCTGTTTGGGTTCATTGAACTTCTTGAATGGATATCTTCCCATTTTTGTCATGGTAGGGAAGTTCTCTTTGACAATTTTCTCTGTGATTGTATATGTCTCCTTCTGTTCTAGAATTCTGATCACATGTAAGTTATTCCTTTTGATGAGATCCCACATAAATCTTAGGCTTTGTTCATTTTGTTTTGATCTTTTTTCTGATTGATTTCTTACCAAAGTAGTATTGAGGTATTTGTCTTCAATCTCACAAATTCTGTCTTCCATTGATTTGATTCTACTCCTTTGCCCTTTCAATGTGTTGTCTGTTTCTGAAATCTTAGTGTTAATCTTCTGGATTTCTATTTGCTGTTTTTATATGGTTTCTGATTTTTCATTTTGCCAGTTCTTATTATTTTCCTAGAGTTTGTGTGTGTTTTACTTATTTTGTTGATGTTTTCCATGATTTTGTCAGTGTTTTCCTTGATCTATGTCTAAATCCATTGAAGGTACCTAAATATAATTCTTTTGAATTCCTTATCAGGCAATTCCAATACTGCTTCTTTTGCAGGGTTTTCTGGTTCTGTATTCTAGTCCCTCATTTGTACTTCTTTACCTTGCTTCTTTGTGTGACCTTGGATTGTCAGTTGTCTCTGAGACATTGTGATGTTGTTGTCTGATTGTATGTTAGTGTGATTCACCCAGGTTTGTTTGTTTTTTCATTTTGCTTTATTTTGTTTTGCTATATCTGAGTGAGTAAGGCTGGTGTGCTACTCTGTTTGCTAGTTTGGTAGCACGTAGGCAGTCACCACCTGTCTCCCTGTGGGTGCGATATAAGAATGTTCAGATACAACTCTGTTAGCTGTTTGTGCGAAGCAGTTGAGAGTGAATTGGGCTGGTGTTGGCCACCATCTATCAATGATGATGATCATTTGGTGCAGAAGGAAGTGGTGGCCCTTGCCCAATGGGTGGGGCTGCAGGAGGTGCAGATGTGGTTGGGTTGTGTGGGCACCATTGCTTTCTGGTCATCAGCCACAAATGTGGTTGCTTGTGCAGTCTTTGGCAAGCAGAGCTTATTTTCAGTTTGCTGCCTAAATCAGAATGCCATTTTCAGATGTTCAAAATGGCCGCACCATCAGGCCAGCTAGCAGTGCATAGCTTCATTTGTCTCCTTATTTGCTATTTTCATTCATGTTCTCTACTAGTCTGTATTTAATCAACTTCTTTATCCATCTCTTTGAAGGTCAGAGTTCCAGGATTACTTCTGTATCTGTTTTAATGGTTTCCCATTCCTTTGTCACAAACGGTTTGTGTAGCTTGTCTGTCTATTCTGCCATCTTGCTGGAAGTCTCCATAGGGTTTTTAATGGCTTATCTTTCAGAACCAGGATTACCAGGTCTTTCTTTCAAGGTGACTCTGGGTGGATTCCAAGTGCCAACCTTTCAGTTAGTAGCTGAGTGTTAACCATTTGCACCAGCCAGGGACTTCTCTGGGGTCACCATGAGTGGGAATAGACTCCTCAGCAAATAGTCAGATAATGTAGTAAGGGAAAAATAGATGATTTTGCTGTCTAATTTCAAAGGGAAAAAAATAATTATGTACAAAGCAATTTATTTTATAGTTTTTAAAAGACTCTTTTGTAATTCTAGGTTTTGAAGTTTAAGGTGTTCTGCAGAAGGAAAAGGCAGAAAACATGAGTGCTGAAGATGGTGAATCATCTCTTCCTGAAGAAGAGGCCCCACCCTCTACAGAAGAGGCAGCTCCTCCCCATTCAGAAAATATTGCCCCATCCCCTCCGGGAGATGCTGCCCAGCCCACTTTAGGAGAGGAGGTCTATGTAGAAGAGCTTGCCTCTTCTGGGGAAGGTAATATACCTTCTGAAGGTGAAGGCCCGAACTTCATTCCTTCGGAAGAAAGAATAATTCTTCCAGATGATGATGAGCGGGATCCGACTAGAATTCGTCATAGGGCTGGACCCCGTGGGGGACAAGATCAATTGGTGCTTTCTGAAGTGCTTTCTCAATCTTCTTCCCGTCGGTCATCCAAATACCGCCGGAGTATGAGTGGCATTCCAAATCTACAGGAAACATTAAAAGAGAAACAGGTTTTGCTCATAATACATGTTTTCATTTGTATCACTTTTAAGTGAAATATTTTGGTGTTTTTTTCTCTATAAAATTTTTATCCATGGTTTTCATTCCCTAGGCAAGATTTAGAGAGGCAAGGGAAAGCCGAAAATTGAAAATTGAATCTTCATATAAATATATATTTGAAATCTTAGCAGAATGTCTCAACCTGGATATAGTAGTTGTGGAAGAATTAATTTTGGATTGTCCTTCTGTGAGTTTAAGTCTCACCATTTTTTCTTTTTTCATTGTGGTAAATACATATGTAAGCAAACATTTGTCATTTCAGTAATGTTTGTATGTACAGATTAATGACATTAAGTATGTGTATCATGTTGTTCAGCTATCATATTATCACCCTTCTTTTTCTCAAAATTTTCCATCTCCTTATTTTTTAATTGCTTTTTGGGAAATGCTTGATTTAAGAGTCATTGTCATGAGCAACAAAGCATTTAGGAAGAAAAGGTTGGAATTTTATTGACTATGGAAGTAATCTTACTTTATATAACTATAGTCAGTTGAGTGATATTTGTTGTTCTACCATAGTGGAGGCAGGAAAGAGAACAGTCAGCAATGAGAATTAGGCTAATATTTTAACTCAAAATGGCTTCAGAAGGTAGAGGGATAGTCAAACACAGGTAGAGTAATATTTAAAAAGTATAGGTTATATGAACTATATATACTAATCATTTGGGTAAAAAAACAAACTACATAAATATGAGCTAGGGAACAGTGACTGCTATATAAGTGTAACAGAAAACAGTGAGACAATTACAGGTGAGGTTACCCTATGCCTCTGGGCCAGTTCCTTTACAATGCTAGAATAGGACAGTTGTTCTGCTATAACAGTGCCCTCTTTCACTCCCCAGTGTCCCAATTTTAATCAATCACAAAGGAACAAATATTGTTTGATACTGCTATTATAAATAGTCAAGACAAGATTTTCACAAAGAAAGAAACATTCTTTGATGGTTACCAGGGGTAGGAGGGCAAAGGAAGGTATATCACTATAGGGTGTTGTTTACTGTTGTTGTTAGGTGCCATCAAGTCAGTTCTGACTCAAATCAACTCTGTGTAAAACAGAATGAAACACTGCCTGGTCCTGTGCCATCCTCACAATCTTTGCTATGCTTGAGCCTATCTTTGCAGCCACTACATCAATCCATCTCATTGAGGGTCTTCCATTTTTTCACTGACTGTCTACCAAGCATGATATCCTTTGCCAGGGACTGGTCCCTTCTGACAATATGACCAAAGTATATGAAAAGAAGTCTGGCCATTCTAGCTTCTAAGGAACATTCCAGCTGTGCTTCTTCCAAAACAGATTTCTTCATTCTTCTGGTAGTCCGTGGTATTTTCAGTATCCTTCACCAGTACCACAATTCAAAGGCATAATTTCTTTGGTCTTGCTTATTCATTATCCAGCTCTTACATGCATATGAGGTTATTGAAAATAGCATGGCTTGGGTCAGACATACCTTAGTCTTCAAAGTGACATCTTTGCTCTTTAACACTTTAAAGAGGTCTTTCGTGGCACATTTGCACAATGCAGTACGTTATTTGATTTCTTGACTGCTGCTTCCATAGGCATTGATTGTGAATCCAAGGAAAATGAAATCCTTGACAACTTCAGTCTTTTCTCCATTTACTGGGATGTTGCTTATTGGTCCTGTTGTGGGGAATTTTGTTTATTTCTTTATGTTGAAGTGTAATCCATACTGAAGACTATAGAAGAAGGCAATATTCAATAAGGGTGAGGCAAACAAAATGATCAAGGCAAAGGAAGACACTGAAAGAAACACAAGAGTTAAAAGCAACAGAGGTAAACACTGTTACACACACACACACACACAACACAAATGTGTTCTAATTATGGATGATGAATTTATACAGTCACCCTAATTATAGTAATATGTAATAGTACTCTCAGAAGCAATTATCATCGCTTCCCTCCTGCTAGGTCTGGTTCTAAACTTTCAATGAAAGTACTACTACTAGCTGCCTGAGGTTTTTCTCAACTCCGGCAGTGGACTAGGGAGCTCTGGTGCCAGTGGTGAAAGCATTTGGCTGTTAATCGAGTGGTCTGAGGTTCAAACTTGCCAGCTGTTCCATGGGAGAAAGATGAGGCAGTCTGCTTCTTTAAAGATTTATAGTCTTGGAAACCCTGTGGGGTGGTCGTACTCTGCTCCCAAAGGATCTCTGTGAGACAGAATCGACTTGATGGCAGTGAGTTTGTTTTTTTTTCTTTGAGGAGTGAACTGGACTGGAGCCCCAGCAAGACCAGTGAGCAGGTACAGGATGGTGGTGACCCAATTATTCCAATGAATACACTGATGAAAGAGAGTGTGGTGAGGTTATCACCATGGAGGGGTCCATGCCCATTACTTTTATTGGGGCCAGTAAATTTGGGCAAAACTCTTTCGTTTGCTTTAGGAGCTATGGAATGGTGCCTAAAAGAGCCTATCTTTTGCTTAATTCAGTGTGTTGCTATATTCTGGAAAGTTATCTTCCTCAGTTCTGCTAGGATTCATAAAATTTTAGTCCTGACAGTTCCAACAGGTATGCTCATTTTCCTGCTTCCTTGGTGTGAACTTGTCACAATGAGATGTGAATGTGATTGATGCAAAGAGATCAATAGCTCCAACTGTAAACTTTCTTTGATGGCAAAAGGTAGTGATTGTATGGAGATGGGTACATAAAACAGGAGGTAGGTAACACAGAAAGCCACTGGAAGATAAGTATGGTTTTCCAAGTCACCAAAGTTCCCTGTTGGTATGCACAGCTGTGGTCAGGGCTGGCTTCATGGGTGTGAAGGTTGTGTAGTGGCATAGGCTCTTGTTCTCAGAAGGGCTCCATTACTTGGTTTAATGGTCCACTGAGGCCATATTGAAATTCTTAATAATTTTTCAACAAGCAGCCCCACATTTTTATTTTGTACTGGACCTCAACATTTCTGTAGCTGGTCCTGGCTGTGAATGATACCACTTGCATAGCAAGAGGATTCTCTTTGCTATTCTCAAGTTGTTTTTGATTGTTTGATTGCTTGCATTTTCTTTTTGTTTGCTTTCCTTGATATTCCTTCCCTACTATTTTTTAGCTTTTCTGGACACTCTGAGTCCATGTCTGCCTACTGTCCAAGTAGAAGCAATCAGTGCAAAGCAACCATATGTGTATCACTGAACTGGTGGTTGTAAGCTGAAGGAAAGGGCAGTTTCCAAAAATGTGTTTCTTAGCAGCCCAGACTTCTGGCCTTTTCCCAGAGCCAGTCCTGAACTTAATAAGGGAGGAAACCAGATAAGTGATTGACCTTATTTCACCTGAAGATTACTAGGCCACAAATTTGACTAGCTTATACAACTGGACTCCAGGCAACTCAACACAGGGTGTAGGCATAGGCATTGGGTGCTGGCCAGTGCCTTCAGGAGAGGACAGCTGCTAGGGCTGACTGGGTGAGATGGGCCCACCTGCAGAGCCCATAATCCCACCTTTCAACATTTACCAATGAGCATTCAAGGCTGGCAGTCTCTGCTTGGAGGAAGACATTAGATTGTATAATGGGAGTGCTGTGTGCCTCAAACTTTTCCATTTGCCATTCCTGAGATATGTCTTGGATTTTGAGTCCATGTGGTTAGGTTCTACCTTTAAGGCCATCATAGACTAGGCCAGATGCTGCTTAGGCTGTAAGAAATGGGAAAGTTAGGTCTTAGGGGAAGAATCAAGCCAGGAAAAGTGCTTCCTTAGGAGTTTGTGTATGTGCCAAACCACAGTGGAGCAAAGATAGTATGGAGCAGCCAGGAGAGAAACCAGTATCAAAAGTTGGGAGAGATCACAGCACTTATTTGGCTGCAGGGAAAACTCAAGGACATATGGTTAATTGACATCAAAGTTGGTGGCTAAGTGGGTAAGAAGATGGAACATGGAACAAGGGGTAGCAGGATTTGATGTAGTGGGTGAGGAAATGGGGTATATGGAAAAGTATTCCTTTTATTTGAAGTCGGGGTGTGCAATTTAGGTGGAGAACTGATTAAAGGCACCACAAAAAGGTGAAAATTAGAAAGTGAGATGGTTACTTTGCTTCCAGATGCATTCTCTACTCTGCTCCACCCTGCTCTTTGCCCTAGAAGGCTGACCTCTATGGATTCCATCACCTGGGCTCCCTGTCCCTCTGGCTTCCATTTGGTTCTGCTTATTGGAGGCACTAACAGGAGATTGGAGGGCAGAAGAGAGAGAAGCCTGATCCCTCGCCTCCCTACTTTGCCACGTTTCTGGCCGTGGTCTTGTCTTTCCATGATCATAGCTCTTTCCAAGTAATTCTTCTCCCACAGCTCCAATTCTTATTGCTAGGCCCAATGTTGCTACTACTGTCACAGCTTCCCTTAACCCTGCTCACACCTCTAGAAGTAGCCTCTCTATTATTATGAAGTTTTACAAGAACCCCAGCTGTATGCAGCTCCTTTTCTTGCTAGGACACTGACTGACATAGAGGTTTCTACTGCAGTGGTATTCACGCTTTTCGCTGCTTCCCATTTTACTGCCTTCATCATTCAGCACTGCTCATTATAGCCGTAGGGGTTACTTTTCTGGTGTTACTTTTTTGACAGCATTTTCCAAAGTCAATGCAGCAACACATGGTTCCCTGGAAAGAGCACAGATCTGGAGACCATAGAACTGGGGTTCAGTCCCGGGTTCTGCACTTGTGGTTGTGTCTTTGAGTTCTTCACTTAAGTTATCTTTAGCTTTAGTTTTTCCTTCTGCAAGAGGTGGTTTAATAATGCCTGCCTTGCCTAGTTTAGTGTTGTAGTGAAGCTGAGATGAACTACTTATAAAATGTTATGTAATATAAATGAATTTTTAATTCACAATTAGTACTTTGGTTCATGACAACATTCACTTTGATAGTCTTCAAGACTGTTGTCATTATTAGTTGCTGTCAAGTAGGTTCCAAGTCAAGGTGATCCCATGTACAACAGAGCAAAATGTTGTCCAGTTCTGTGCCATCTTCACCATCGTTGGTATACTCTAGTATATTGTTGTAGCCACTGTGTATTTTGAGTAATTTCCAACTTAGGTGACTCCTCTTCTAGCATTATATCAGACAATATTTTGTTGAGATCCATAGAGTTTTCATTGGCTGATTTTTAGAATGGGGTCACCAGGCCTTAGTTCCTAGTCTGTCTTAGTCTTGAAGCTCTGCTAAAACTGATCTACCATGGGAGACTGTGCTAGTGTTTGAAATATTGATGGCCTTAGTTCCAGCATCATAGCAACATACAAGCCACTGCAGTACACAGACAGTTAATGGTCAGGACTTTTATGTGAGTGGTGGAAGTGTAGAAAATTAAGAGCTAGATTTATGCATATCTCTATAGCTCCATTTCATTTCCTAGGGTGATGTTTTTCATGTGTGGTCCCAAGACCAGCAGTATCAGCATCACCTGGAATGTGTTAGAAATGCAAATTCTCAGGCCTAGTAATCTGTATTTATAAAGCCCTCTAGGTGATTCTGAGGGAGCTCTGGTAGCATAATGCCTAAGGAACTTGACTGCTAAAAAAAGGCTGGCGGTTCAAACCCACCAGCCACTCTTCAGAAGGAAGGTAGGGCAATCTACTTCTGTAGTGATACTGCCTTGGAAACCCAAGGAGGGGTCGCTATGAGTTGGGTCTGACTTGATGGCACACAACAACAATAACAACCACAACAGGTGATTTTGATGTACACTAAAGTCTGAGAACCATTGTCCTAGGGACGTAGCTTTGCTAGATCTAGGATACTTCAGTGATCAGTAAATGAAGAGAAACCCACTGCCCAAGGGAGAGACTTCTGTAAACAATCAGTGAGACTGCATAAAGGGGGTACTTTGTATTTTCCATATGTTGTGTGGAAGTTTTGTTTACGTGGCCTGATTAGTCTTCTACTTACTAAGATATTGTACTAACTCATAAGTTATTGAATAAAAAATTCATGCTGAAACATATGGAAGAACCTCATTATAATAATTTATTTTTATTCCTAGCTTGACTATAATATGGGTCAAATTGCAATTACTGGAAATATAACTACCAAAGTAATTGGTCAAAACAAAACAGTTAACAAGGCAAATTTTCTATTCCCCAACAAATTCAGCTTTATAAAATTAGTTTCTATGAACAATAATTCCTTGTATTTATCTCCAGTTGGACTTACTCATCTACCCCCTTAAGATTCTGTGAGGCCGTAAGATTTTGTGAGGCCAAGCCAGGTTAAGTGGCTGCTTAATATGTAGATCATTGATACAGATTTAGAAATAGAATTCACCCTATATTCCACAGTAATTTTGGAATTAAATTAGTCCAGGTTCTAATCTTGCCTCTGATACTCTGTTTGTATTTGAAAAACTCTTTGAGCCTTATTTTCTTTGTCTATAAAATGATGAGGATTAAAGCATGTAAAATGCCAAGCACAGGGCTTGGTTCATATTATTTTAGCCCCCTGGTCATTTTACTGATTACAATTTCCTTTTTTTTGACAGCTGGAAGCATTTAGTCATTTTTTTGTGAAAGATGGTTGTAAGACATTGAAATTTTTATATCAGGAAGGAGATGTACCTGGTATAGGTAAGGATGTTTTACAAAGCTAATGTGTGAGCAATTTGTTAATAAATGTTAAAGTGCTGTATATTTTTCCTTTTATACATAGAGAATCCTGTATTTATAAGGATGATTTCACAAGAAACTTCAATGTAAAAATACATAGTGAATTAAGAAACAGTGTACCTTCAGCCCAAATATGTATTGCAAACATTACTGTAATAATTTAAGGGGAAAACATTCATATGGAAATCATTGACTTCTGTTGGGGATACGCATTCTGACTGGGGTTTAACTGCGTTTTCCCTGAAACAGGTGGAGCCATTTTTTAAACATATATTCAGATGACTAGAAATAGTCTTGAAACCACTCCCAGAACCTAGCAGCTGCACTCTGTGATACTTACTAGGTCAGCATCTTGTGCCTGCTGCAGCTGGCAGTTGGAATATCTAGCGTTCTCTAAAAAACAAAAAACAACCAACCAGTTGTGATTGGGTGACTTCATGTGTATCATAGTAGAACTGTGCTCCATGGGGTTTTTAGTGGCAGATATTTTGGATGCTGATCACCAGGCCTTTCTTCTGAGGTGCCTCTGGGTGTACTTAAACCTGCAGCCTTTCAGTTAGCACCCAAGTGTGTTAACTGTTTCCACCTCCCACGGACACACATTATTCCTAAAATGATTAACCAGGTTTGTTAACCCTTTGCCTTAATAACTAGGGTACATGAGCCATCCTTTTGGTCTTAGACTACTCATTGTCTATTGTTATTGTTGTTATGTGCTGTCAAGTCGGACCCAACTCATAGCGACCCCTCCTTGGGTTTCTGAGGCGGTATCACTATTGAAGTAGATTGCCCAACCTTCCTTCCGAGGAGTGGCTGGTGGATTTGAACCACCAGGCTTCTGGTTAGCAATCAAGTGCTTTAGGCACTCTGCTACTAGAGCTCCTACTCATTGTCTAAGTCCTTTGAATTTTACCTTGAAGATGTCCCTCCTGTTGGTTATTTCTCCCATCTTCTTTACGCTAGGCCCATAGCTCCTGTCTACCCTAGTATTCCAGATTGGAAACCAGTCTTCCTCTTAGCAGATTCACACTAGTTATTCCTGCCAAGTAAATCTTTTATTGTCCTGCTATTTATTGGGTTGGGTGCAAAACCTCTCATGCGTCTACTTGTTGTTTTTATGTGCCGTGGAGTGGGACCCGACTCATAGCGACCCCTCCTTGGGTTTCCAAGGCAGTATCACTATGGAAGTAGATTGCCCCATCTTCCTACTAGGGACTCTTGATGTGAACACACAGTGCTTGTCTAGTCTGATCTCCTAGTCTCTCAATAATGAAGTTGCTGCTCCCTTTAAGCCAATCTCTTCATTATTTTCTGGAAATACCAGAGTCATTTCTGTGCTCTTTTCTTAGCTCTTCTGACTGTCAGAATGCCTTTCTACCTGGTCGTAATCCTCTCCCTCCTTCTGGATCAACTCATGCATTCTGTTTTCTACAGAGCTTTCCCAGAGTATCTCAATCCACATCAATCATTACTCTCCAAACTCCTGTCTCATTTCAAGTTTGCATCATAAAATACAGAACTTTATTATATTCTTTTATCTAATTGTTTAATATATGTAAGTTTTGCTTTCTCAACAAAGCCCACAAACTCATGATTAATGACTAAACTGCTCTGTGTACTGTTTGTCACAATTCTTATCTTGGGGCGATTATTTCCCTATTTTTGTAACTAATAAAAATTTAAAACAACAGCTGAAAATTATAGAAAAATAAGAAAACATCAACAATTAAAAGTAAAAACCAACCACAGGCCCACTCACTCAGAGAAAGCACTGTTAACTCCTTAAAAACTATTCCTCTATACCTCTGATATATACACATATTTTACCAAAATGGGATCCACCCCTAGGGAGGAGTCCCATCACATGGAGCGTAATAACCCACTCACTCCATAGTTTGCAGTGTCAGAGTTGTCAAGGAAGACATGACTCACACACAGGTATTGGACAGAATAATACATTACTTACATAGAGAATAAACAGAGCAAGGGCAGCTTCAGAAGTGGGTGTCAGTCCCCTATAGCCTGTGGATCTTGTTAAGCAGCTGATGCCGAGAGATGGTCTGCATGCATTCCTCTTGCTGCAGGAGAAAGAGCCCATTACTTCCCTGCTGGGAATAGTTATAGATGAAGAATTAGTCAGGTGCTGTATAATGTACACACTGATTTGAGCAGTGCCTGGGAATGTTGACATGTGCTCAGGGCAAGAGAGATGGGATGTGCTGATAGGCCTCTAGCTGCTGTGGGATGTGTTTTGGGTCTGGACACTCCAGAAAGGGAGTTAGTTCATACTCACATCCCATTCAGGAAACCAAGCTGACACACCAAGCACAAGGTTCACTTGTGAGTCACAGGGAAAGGCAGCAGACTGCACTTGGACTGCCTGCTTACATAGTAATAAAGGGAAGAAATATATAATTTTCTAGAATAAATGCAGGTATATTTTTTAGTACAGGTATAGTTCCTTTGGTGTATACTTCCTTAGAGCTAAGTTCCTTAGCATTGTTTTTAAGATTTGCACTTATTGACATCTTTTCACAAAGAACAAATTTTGTTCCAATGTCATATTGAAAACCAATCACAAAGTACACAAGAAACAGTGGTGTCAGATTCACAGTAATTTGTCACATTACGCTAAGGTTTTGACTTTTCTTTTTAGAATGTGGCCGAACTATTGCTGGAGTAACTAAAGGAGCAAAAATGATGAGACTGTATGTAGACAACGCAGCCCCAGAGAAACTAAAAGGACTGTGTATATTTTTTGTTCGCTGTCGCAATGATATTACTATAAATATTAAAAATATTCATGAGGTAGGTTTAAACATTTTTTCTGAATTGATTGTATTTTCATAGTCACATCTTTGCTTTATTTTGCTCTCTCTCTTTCTATGTGTAGGACTGAATAGTGTTCCCTGAAAATAGTGTATTCACATATTCTGGTAAACTGAGAAATTTTCTATAATAGAATTTAGTGATATTTATCCTTTAGATGCTGTTGCTGTTGTTAGTTGCCATTGAGTCAACTCTGACTAATGATGACCCCACGTACAATGGAACACAATGTTTCCTGGTCCTGTGATATCCCTATGATTGATTGTGGATCAGACAGTGTTCCATCGTGATCCGTAGGATCTTCATTTGGCAGGTTTTTGGAAATAGATTGCCAGGCCCATCTTCTGAGCCTATCCTTTAGATATTGCTTTTTAAATTCATCAAAATCTCATTTCTGATGTTATGCAAATAGTTTCTATCCTTTTATCCTAGGAACACATTTGATTCTGTTCAGTTGATGTTAAGTATGTTATTTATTTACTTTTTTAAAATCTCCTTTTCACTCAATATTTTAACTCTTCAATGGTTTTGCAAAGAGAAGGGAAAAGTGACCTAGAATGTGGACATTGCTTACTTGTTCCTGGGAAGGCAGGATGGCAGAATGGGAAAAATGGGAATTTTAGTCAGAACTGAATTTGCCTGAGCTTCAGCATTGACTAGCAGTATGTCCTTTGTGAGTTACTCATCCTTTTTGAGACTTAGATCTGTACATTCTTTTTTTTTTTTTCTTAACTAAGTTTTATATTTTTTCCTGTGGAAACCTTACACATGTTTCCTTAGATGTATTCTTTTTTTGTGTGATTTGGGTGAAGATTTACAGAGCAAATTCACTTTCCATACAGCAGTTCACATACACTTTGTCTCATGACATTGACCACAGTTTACCACAATGC